AACGGAAAAAGACCACTGCCCGACTGAGGAATTGAACCCCAGACCTTCCGATTACCGGTCGGACGTACTGCCATTACACTACCGGGCTGTCTTCTTCCGTCTTAGGATCTCTCCAGGATCCTAACAGGGAGATGTCTCATTTTAATCAGAATTTTGGGGGGTACAGTCATGACTTATTCAGAAAAACTCTTGGGGATTTTTCGAGATTTCTGGAAAACCAGTATCCAGAAACAGGTTAGGAAAGGCCTATGGGCAAAAATGGCTATCATATTCGGAATCAGCATGGTCGATTACCTATAAACTATCGCATTTCGTTAGAAAAGCGGTTGGACATCTGGAAAGATTCTCTCGTCAGTAAGGCTTGTCTGGCAGAAACTAAATGAATATCGTGATCAACATCTGGTTCTTTTCTTTTTCTCGTTGTCTGGTCTTACTCATCTTCATGTTCGACACGTACAGCTGATAATTGTTCTGCTTTTTGAACATTCATTACCCAATTCCAAATGCTTGCACATTTACGGTTTTGCAAACAGTTGATGTTTGCCGATGATGATGAAGACAGTGAAGATTAAGCTAACTTCTTTTTGTAAAATAAAATTTTTTAAATACGGTACTGATTACCTTTTAAGATAATCGTGATTGCTTATCTATCTCTTATTTAATTTCATTTTTATACGGAATATAGAAACGACAGATAATGTATCTCTTATAGAAACGCAATTTATTGCAAAAGTATTCGTTTCTCAAAAGGGATACTGTTTAATTGATAAAAGAGATACATTGTAAAATCTGGATTTATATCTTATGAGAATATATAATGTATCTCTTTTGAGACGCAGCCGTTATATTGTATATGCAAATATGCATCGTGAAAAATCGTCCTATCTTCTAAGTGGAACAATTTTTTTCCAAAGACACACATAAGACGTCTCGCCGTTTTCCCAAAAAACTTTATAGATCAACCGGATATATAAAAGTGTGACAGTAGTAATGTGAAATCCGCGTGGAGAACCGCATTTTTCAGCGTGTTTGTTTCTTTCTTGTAGATACGCTCATGAGCTTTTATATTAATACACATGAAAACGGTCAATAATCAATCTTTGAATTCAAACAAATCTCTCAATTGTCTCTTGTTTTCCTAGCCAGTCTTTCTTTTAGAAGATTAGGTATGATGCATAGACGACACGACCGCTTGCTCTTGCTACCTGCGAAAAATTGATGACTCATTCGCTGCTGCCAACCGTTCTATCGGTTAATACCTCTAGTGACCATCAGTTAAGATCCCTAGTGACGGCAAATACTATTTCTCAAAATTATATACGATCTAATCCGAACAGTTCAATCCCTACCCTATCTGAAGTTGATCTCTAAGATATGACGAGTAGCTGTAGGTCATATGGGTCAGTGTATTCATAAAACTGGCAACTAATAATTTACAAAAAGATGATCCACAAGATACTGATATTGTTAAAGATGTATTGTCATCACCAGCATTATTAAATGGTATTGCAAAAATTGTTCGTGAAACTCTTGCCCCATATGTTAAATGCTATAAGATTTTGAAGATCGGGTATCTAGATTGGAATTATCACAAAATGATCTGAATATATATGATCGTCGAACAAATTTAAGATTTTATGATTTAGAAGAGAAGAGGATATTAGTATTAGTCATTGTGTTAGACGTAGTAATAAGAAAAATAAACAACCTCTTGCTATTATTGTTCATTATCAGACACGGCGAGACATTCTACAGAATAAAAGAATTTGAAAGACGTAGATAAACAGATATCCATAAATGAAGATTTAACGAAACATAATTTGGAAGTATTTTAATATGCACGTTAACATTTAGATAAAAGATCAGTGTATATAGTGAATGGTAATGTTATGTATGCACAGGGTCAACAACGTATTAAATTATTATCAACAACTCATATGGATAATTTAATAAATGAAGAATATTGATGAAAATATAAAATCTAATAAACCCATAGAAAGCATGTTTATCATATTTCTGTTCTTTACGTTTTTTCTTTATCTTTTGTTGTACAACCGATCGGGAGAAAATAGATTTTGAGAGTTTCTTTGTTTACTGTACTTAAGAAACCTTGCCCAAGTGACACCTTGCTATCTGATAATGGATAACAAAAAAGTGAAACATCAAGTTGAATAAATGCATATATTTTTAAAAGTAATAGTATACTTTTTCCAATTACCTCTAATTCAACATCTAATATTACTTCGAAAATTGATATTTTACACTTTTACATTACACTTTCCAAACTTGTTCTCGTTACAGTTACCAAGACCTGGCTTACTTCCTCACACTCGGATCAATTACTGACTATTTCTGTTACAACTAATCCAGGAAGATCGATTCTGGTAAAGGTAGAGGCTTCTTATTATTCATTCGTAATGACCTAAGATTATAAACATTTAACGGAATTAGAGTGTCTTGGTTATAAAACTTGCTTTTTAAGCTTATCTTTCACTTCATTGAAAACTTTGTTATAAACCACAAAATCTTGCACTTATACCAGATTTTGTTCATTGTTTAAGCGGCGCTGCAGATAAAATTAGATCATGCAATATGAAGCATAACTCGTTAGTCCTTATAGGTGATTTTAACGGTCACTCAGATCAGTGATGCCTTACTTAAATCATCCAACTATTGCCGGCAGGCAGTTATTTGACTTAGCTGTCAATGAGGAAAGTAGCGCAGTTAGTGTTGGAACTAACGAGACCGAAATCAAACATTTGTTTGAATTTTATTTTTATTAATAATACTTGCTAAGTTACTAATGAGAGAACCTCGTCAAGTGCCAGATCGTTTTTTCCTCAAAATATATATGTCTGTACGTAATCGACGATTCTGATTCCGATTGTCACAGCCGTTTTTCTCGTGGGAGTTTGGAAGTCCGGTTTTCCACCGTAAAATTTGTTTACATTAAAATCAATGTCTGATTTGTCTCGTGTCCTAGAGCATGTCGAGTTATGCATGTGTCTGGACAATATCGTAACCTAAACACTTTTGATCGATAGATGAATGAGAAAAATACTGAAAGCGTGAAATTTTGATAGAAAATATTTTGAGATCATGTTTGAATAAACATGGTATGAAAGATTATTCTCAATAATCGAGGTGTATAACTAATAGTTTGCTCAAAATCAGCAACGCACTGGTGATGATTGTCTTCAGTCTTTAACTTTGTCGTTTAATCACCTCCGCATCCACCACATGGTCTTAATCCGATATTGCATCAGTACAATCTTAACTAACGAGAGCTTAACTTACCTGTGAATGGCGTCTTAAATGAATATTTTCTAACCTCCACCGCACTGGTCTGTTCCGATATTATTTAATATTCGATTATAAATAAAAAATGTGTAGTTTTCAAAAATGTTGTCATAGTTGAACTTTCTCTAACCTCCTCCGTCACAAAAGATTATTCACATACTTTGCAGTGCTGACAAGGTTTTCCGTTTCCTCATAACTTATAACATCATTGAGATATGTGAATTAATTATATCCACCACAACTGCTACCACCGTAGTCACAACCAGCACCGCAAGATGAACCATCAGCTACATCAATAGGTATAATTACAGGTGTTTTTGATTCTGTTGCTGTTGTTGAGTGTGGTACATATGTAGAGGGAGAGTGATACGTTGTAGATGATCGTAATGGCGCATGTGACTGTTTGCGTACATAACTTTTTCTTTTTACTGACGACGACGCATTTACCATTTTCTTGCTTTCAACTTTTGATTTTTCCGGTAATTTTTCTTTCTGTTTGAGAAAATGAATTCCATTTAAAAAACATTGAAAAAATTGAACATAAAATGGTGTTTTTGTTTTTTTTAATGTTGTCATAGTTATTCTTTCGCATTGTATAAAAAAGATAATAATACACATACTCATTTTGCTAATTCTTTTAATATTGATACAACGCAAATCATGCGTTTAATTCGTCTTTTTTGCCAAAGGACAACTGACTCATTATGAAAATGCACATGATGATGATCGAACAGGTGTTTTACGTAATGCAATTTTTATCGTCTTCTGCACCCATTCCTGCAAGTACAGCGTACTACTGGGATCATATACTGGAATTTATAGCTCATTTGGATGGATTCAAATGCATAACAGAAATATCTACGTAAAACATCCGTTAGATCATCATTATGTACATTTTCAATAATTAGTCAGTTTTCTCTGAGCAAAAAATACAAATTAAACGCATGATTTGCGTTGTGTAAATACGAAAAGAATTAGTAAAATGAGTATGTGTATTATTGCCTTCTTTATACGCTGCGAAAGAAAAACTATAGCAACAGTATAAAAAACATAAACACCAGTTTATGTTCAATTTTTTCAGTTATTTTTATATGGAATTCATTTTATCGAACGAAAAGAAAAATTACCTGAAACGTACATAAAAAGCCATTTTTCTTAGTATCAACGTTGAAATTAACCGAAAGACAGCCCTTGACAACGGTTAGCACCTGCGACAGTTGAATTATGAAATTTTGAAGTGCGACACATATTTAGTTTAAGTTACATTTATTGATCCAGGGGAAACAAGTTCCTTATATCTTACCTTTCCCAAGTGATAAATCGCTTTCCGTCGGAAACCTAGTGGGTTATAGGTTATCGATGGTGCTGAATCCGAATATCAACATGAGACCTGGTGCTAGGCCTTCCAAGTGCCGGTTTTCTGGAAAGCCAGCTTTTCAGAAACTCTAAAACAATGACCAAAACCTTTCCTAATGAGATATAATTGTAGTCCGCAAATTTTAATTAAAATGAGCCATCTCCCAGCTCTACACGACCTTTCTTTGCAAAGTTATAGAATTACAAGAACAGCCCTAAATTAATTTCTTCTTATTTCTGTAACTTTAAACTTTTCTTGTAAATTCTATAACTTTGCAAAACCGGATCATATAGAGCTAGGAGATGGCTCATTTTAATCAGAAATTTGCGGGCTACAATTATGTCTCATTAGGAAAGGTTTTGGTCATTGTTTTAGAGTTTCTGAAAAGCTGGCTTTCCAGAAAACCAGGAAACCGGTACCTGGAAGGCCTAGCAGCAGGTCTCATGTTGATCGGATCCAGCACCATCGATAACCTATAGCCTACTAAGTTTCCGACGGAAAGCGATTTATCGCTTAGGAAGGTCCCTCGTTAGTGTGTCAGGCTAATCCGTCTGACAGCATCCTCACTACATTGTGACTTACACCACAACTTCTCCGACTAGTCCTCGGCTTGCCGGAAAGCTAGCACGTGGTTAGTGAAGTGTGTATGGGGAGCTCAATTAATTAGACGAAAGAACTCTGCTTCATGCTAGTCTTCTATCCAGAGCTGTGGTTGATGAATAGTAACAAGATGGGTGACCATTTCACAAAGCTTGTCAATAGCAGGGACGATATTGCACTATTGAAACCGCCATGGCAACACCCTGCACCCGTAACGTTGGCCGCAAGACGGTGTATTCTTCTTCTTCCAAAATGTTTCTAGTCTTGATATGTACACATTGAACCGCTCGGATAATCTTTTTACATTTTTCGGGTATAAGTTATCAAGAATGATAGTGATACTATATTGAAGTGGAACACTGAATTTGTAAAGGCTCAGTAAAGTGATGTGGCACAAGAGCGGGTAGCTCAAGGGGAGAAAAGCAGTATTGATATCGAGAAAAATACGGCACACATACTAATAATACCATGCAAATAAGCGTCTCGTAATAGTTGTCAGTACTGAAAGTCTCCGGTTACAACGACTAGTTTCCATATTCATGAGCTATATCTTGCCGAACGGCATGAATCGAAGCTGCAAGTGACTTCTTTGAAATGCATTATTAAGAAAAATGTTATCTGTTGAAATGGTTGAGTTATAAGAAATTTTTCCGCTTCCGGTAAAAGTCTAGTGACTAAACTGAATATTTGGTGAAAACAGCATTTGTTCTTCTCTTATATTGAATTCAACAGAAAAGGCGTCCTATATCCATGTTGTGTGCTTTATTTGCTACTGTCTTCTCATTCTGGCATATAACATATAACAGAAATCAATGTTTCAGTGTCCTATATACCATTTCAAGCGATAGAAGCGGTAAAAATAAATTGATTGGCAGAGATATGACCGTTATCGGGTAGATACCTGTTGACTGACAACTTTTCGCCGCATTAATATGCTCTTCATCACACACATTTATATCTCTCGGATGGTTATTACATTTTATGTTTGTGTGTAAATTATTCGAAGAGGACAGATCTGTGTTGCGCGCAATGGTATCGTTTATTGACCGCTTCTTATTTTCTATGATAGTTTCACAATGAACAGGAATGACCAAATAGCCGGATTAGTTCCTACCTCCAAAGACTTAATATAAGTGTAAAAACATATAAGAGTCATGCGTCTCGAGGTTGTGAACATTTCTTTGTTTAAAACATACAGGAAAATACAAAACGCCCTTCTCAGGCTTCATTTTGAGAAAGTAACATTTAGTACTTATCGTTTATTTTTTTAAACAAAGAAACATATAAAGCTCCGAGATGCCCCATTTTGTAGAGAAATGTTTGCTTTACAATTCTAGACGTTCCAAAGCACTGCACATGCTTTCACTGAACTCTTAGTCATTAATGTCAAAAAACAACCTTACGGCTTGTCCAGCTAACGGTCTCCGTTTTTCGCTCTTTTTCAAAGAACTATGGCAATAAAGTTAGAAAATAATCTAAAATTACTACTAGATAATTGAGTAGATTAAACATTTCCGTATAAAATGAAAAGTGTCTTGGCTCTGAAGGTTGAGTCGTTATGAAAATACAGCTGTTGTACAAACAGCCCCAAAAATCGATGTTGGGGCTATCTAAAAAGCGTGTCTAAAAAAGTGAAGACGAGCTTAGCTCGTTCAGCTTAGCGATCTTAGCACTTTTTTGCTAGCTCAGCTAGCAAAAATCAAACGAGTATACCAGTTTGTAGAAAATTGTTTCCTCTACAAGATGTGATAGCTTGTCAAGTTCGAAACTATTCTAATTAATCTGTATTAATCAAAGAAAAACCAGAAAAACCATGACGCTGTGACATTTCTAACCGTTTTTTCTCACGGCGTCACGGTTTTTCTGATTTTATGTCACAGCGTCACGATTTTTCTGATTTTTCTTTGATTAATACAGATTAATTAAAATAGTTCCGAACTTGACAAGCTGTCACATCTTGTAGAGCAAACAACTTTCTACAAACTGGTATACTCGTTTGATTTTTGCTAGCTCGTCTTCACTTTTTTAGACACGCTTTTTAGATAGCCCCAACATCGATTTTTGGGGCTGTTTGTACAACAGCTGTATTTTCATAACGACTCAACCTTCAGAGCCAAGACACTTTTCATTTTATACGGAAATGTTTAATCTACTCAATTATCTAGTAGTAATTTTAGATTATTTTCTAACTTTATTGCCATAGTTCTTTGAAAAAGAGCGAAAAACGGAGACCGTTAGCTGGACAAGCCGCTTAGCTCGTTAGATTTGTTGGATCAACATCACATTCATATACAGTACAACCAACAACTAGTTTAGCTGGCCATCTTGTAGGTCAAAAGAACCAAAAGATCATATGAGTAATAATAGTAAAAAATATTTATTTCTTACAACTAAAGTTATATTAACTTGTTCAAAAGGTGAATAATTTAGCACCATCATTATTCGAATATTGGATACATAATGTATTACAACTAAATCGACCATCAAAAACATCATTAATCCTTTAACACCCCCAACATCATTAATCCTTAACACCGATTTGTCTCCGAAAAAGATGAATTAAATAATCTATGAGTTTTGAAAAATCACAAAAGTTGAATTTTTTTCGGAAAATATTTTTCTGCAACAGGCAAGATACATCTGGATAGCGTATTGTGTGGTCTATAACGACAATAATGTCTACTAAACCCTCGTCCACATTAGAATCCCAGTGGGCTTCTATTATGTTCCGCAAGAACGGCAAAATTTTCTCAAAAAGTACCCTATGGGGGCGGCGGGGGCAATTTTCAAAAAATTTCTTGCCAGACTGAGCTTCTAATGTGAGGGGAGGTTTACCAATGTCAATGTCTTTCGAAAGTTCCAGAAAAGCCAGGTAGACAAGACATGGTATAACACAGAATGGTCACTGGAGTGCCTATTGGGGAGGAGAATGACTTGGAAAAGTCCTATTTTGAGCTATTCGTAAATTTGCTTTAGTTTGACCAAAAAACGTCGTAGAGAGCTCCGAGACATCTCATTTTGTAGAGAATTGTTTACTCTATTGTTCTTGGTAGTTTGAACAAAATTTTGTACGCAAGTTCCAGGTGCTGGAAAACTACAGTTTTGGTTTTCTAGAAAACTCTATTATTGGGAATCTAGTGATGATATTTAGTTACTCAAGTCCTTGTTGGACACAATTTTCCCTACTCAGGCCACTATTTGAATTCTTTTTAGCGTTTATGGCTACGGAAAAAAATTGAAAATACACCCAGTTGATCAGTTTTTGTAACCACTATAGTTTTTCAGCATCTAGAACCTGAGAATAAAATTTTAAAATTCATCTACGATGAATTTTAGCAAACGATTCTCTACCAAATGAGATGTCCTCGAGCTCTCTACGATGTTTTTTTGTCGAACTATATCAAATTTACGAACAGTCCAAAAAAGGACTTTTTCAAGTCCTTCCGCCCCAATGGTCAGTGGAGTGACCCAACGACTCTGCACAAACGAGAGTGCGCCTAACCGAGCTGTCCATACTATTGCCATATTGGAGACACCAATAGTCTATTCCAGTAGTTGTTCCATCAGTGGCTCGTCTGGAACACTTGATTGCCAGCTCAATGTAATAATGATACGTATAAAGATTTAAAACATCTTAAATAAAAAAAATTAACATAGCTTCAAGGTATTACTGTTTGTTGTCTCGTGGTACTCAATAAAATACTAACGCATTTTCCTTTTGTCATTCGTCATGATAAACAGATGTGCAATAAAAAAGAAAAAACATATCCAAATATAAATAAATTTTTCTCACGAATGAAAGCGAAATTTAAATAAGGAAGTGAATCAGAAATTACTTTTTATTTCTTTTCACAATTTTCTTACTATTCTTATCGGCATTATGAGATATTTAATGGAAAGAGAATAGTTGATATTTTAAAAAATATTCTTGTTGTTTCTATAAAGTCAGTAGTACACAGAACATGTAAAAATAAACTTTTATTTGTCAAAAATTCGATCGTTAGTTTTCATTCATAATGTTATTCCCTTTCTCATCAAATACTGACGACAATGATTCAAATATAATTGATTCACTGTATGATTTTTGTAAAGAAATAGAATAGAAAAAGTTCGAAATGTTTTACCATTTATTGGCAATATAAATATTATAAATAAAGTTCAAAATTCGACTGGTTCAACATGTTTACATGTAGCATGTTATTATGGAGATTGAGATATGGTACAACTTTTATTAGAATATGGTGCTGTACATTCTGTAAGAAATTTACGACATAATTTAACACCATATGAAGAATCTAATAGAGATGATATAAAACAATTGTTTGTAAGCTTAGAACAACAATCAAATAATGATTATGATTATGTTGAATGGTCAGTGGTGGGCAACGATCTCATTGAAAAACGAAAAAAACTTCGTCAATCTATTGATTTATACAACCCCGTCTTATAAATTGTCTTATTCACATTGTTACACTTTTAATTTAGCACCCAAATTTACCTCACTACAATTACCAAGGTTTATGTTATCGCGGTATGAGAATAACACAAAATGATTTAGATCAGTATAAATTAAATCATCATATATTAAATGGTGCATTTTTATCAACATCCATTGATAGTCAAGTGGGTGAAATGTTTGCTGATGAAGGTCAACAATCTCAAGTGAGACATACTCCTGGAGATAATCGTGCATTACAATATTCATGTTTATGTCAGTATTTGATAAAAACAAAATTCAATAGCTATTAATACACAAGATTTATCAATGAAACCGGATGAAAAAGAAATTTTAATTATTCCATTTACGGTTTTTATTGTAACAAAAATTAAACAAAATTATCTTGATGATTGATCAGCAGCAATTTCAATTGAAATTGAATTAGAAGAATGTGAAGATCCGAACGATAATAAAAATGAGCGTGAAAGTAAGACGCTTTTCTTCACATATGAAATTATTTTTTTTGAGTCGTTTTGACAAACTTTCAGGTGGTACAACATCGAGAACATCGCCATTCTTATCATCTTATGATGATATAAAAAATATTGAAGAATATGAAAAGCCTAAACAACGAAAATGTCGTCTTTATGGCATCATTGGATTTTTATTGTTGGCTATTGTTTTGGTTTTAAGTTTTGCGTTTATTTTTATTTTTGTTATAAAAGATAATTCCACGAAAAATACTACAAACCGATGATGTCGACCATCAATTACCACTCGGTAAAAAGGAGACAATGACAAAAAAGCAGGCCAGAGAAGGTCTAACACGCTAAAATATGAAACTTTTCCGAAATATATATTTTTTTCTTTGAAACAAATTAACATCAATGACTTTAGTAATTAAAATTCACTCTTTTCTTTTAAGCAATTTAAGTCACCGATTCCGAGTTCAGGTTCGGTAGTAAATTCACGAATTCTATGTTTCATAAGCCTCTGTGAAAGATGTAAAGTTGATGTCTCAGTTAACAGATTCATAAAATTTGATAGATTCAGAGTAAACTATTCTTTGCCAAAAAATACAAAAAATGTTCCATTCTTTTTTGAACAAGTACAAAATAGACATGTTTGATGTGCGTTTCTTGTAGGTTGTCCCAATATATTAAATCGATCTACTTGGAATGCACGTCCATATATAAGTCGTTTGAATTTAACAACATTTCCGATTAAACACATACTTATAAAACAATTATCGGATTTTAATTCAAGTATGAAT